AACAAATTTTTCAAGTCTTTTTACAAACTGGTATGTAAAATTAATCTCTCATTCTCCTACTGCAAGTGGATTTTTTCAGTTCTTATCTAAATGATGCATCAGTAAAAATACTGCTTCCTTTAGATTCTTGCATAGAAAAAACCCATAATACAAGGAAATGTGCTGTTATTTCTAAACATACTTTGGCTGATCACAGAGCCATTTTCCTACCAGAGACCCCATATCAAGATGCCTAATACCATTCCTACTGGAGACAGGTGGAGAACAGAGCTACACTGATAACACTCAGCCCTGCAAGTGTGGCATGCAGCATGTAACCACAAAGCTGCCTCAGTTCCTCTGGGAAATCTGCTCTTTCCATGGGATTCCTTCAGTCTCCACTAACTCCAAAGCTGTTAGACAGGACAGATGCTTTCAAAACATGAATCCAACAAAAACCATTTTTACCTTCTGATTTTGAAGGGTGGTAGTACCACACAACCCTTTTACAATGTCTGAATATTAAGTCCAGTAGTAATTAAACCCCAGAAAAACAACACATGCTTGCTTCTATGAACACAAAAAATTAAAATATGCTAACCAGTCTGTAAGAACCTAAAGATCACAATTGCCTGTCCCAAATACTGTTAGGGCCACAGAAGTACTTTGCCACAAGATAAGCACAGAATGGAGGAACAGTGTGGTGCTAACTCCAGACCTGGTGGAAGCGAGATCTGGTTAGCACATACTTGGTAATTCATCTAGACAAAAATTCCCAATGTGGTAAAATGCATAAAGAAGCAACTGCTTGTGTGTATATCACCAAAGATCACCCCAAAGCCCTGGTATCTGCCACCACCAAAGCCCTGCCCCAAATTGTTAAGCTACTGTGATAAGAACTTGAAATAAGATAACGATGTTACTATTGTTCGAGTGTTATCTCAGTCTGAGGAGAAGGTTAAGAAAGCCAGGGGAGAAGAATGTATCAGTGAAAATGGACACAAAGAATGCAGAATTTATGGACCACAAGGAAAGCTTACTCAGCAACTGTGCTGAAATCAGCTTTGACTGGGTAAAAATTAATTCTGGCAGGGGGAGATTGAAACCACCTACAACTCAAGAAACCCACCGACCCAAATGACAAGACTCAGCATGTGCACTAATTAGTATTAGAAGTGAGGCAATCATTTAACCAATAGACTTAGAGAACTTTGCAGCCAATGAACATTAATTCCTTTCTCTGCTAAGATACATAAATCGTGAAAAGTTTTGAATGATCTCAGGACATTCACCACTGAGAAGACATGTGTGAAAAAGGAACAATGGAATGTCATTTGATCCACAGGTGGTGACTAGCTTCTACTCAATTTCTCTCTCTCCCCACTTCTCTTTTCCATTTCTATATCTCTACCTCAAATTCATTATTAAATAAAATTCATACTATTGACTTTGCCATATGGTCTCATTTGCACCATAATTTGGGCAGAGGCATCTCTCAATAATCAGATCTTAACACAGCTGCAATACATTTTCACAGACGAGAATGAAAAATTCAAGTCTACTGGGAATACACAAAGTAAACTCCTTAACTAGCTGAAAAAAAGAAAGAGGCAGTGCTTTTGGGAAAACAAAATTAATTATGCAGTTGTTGGTTAGTTACCTTTTTCTCTTCTGTTCCAGGATCTGATTCACTGAATTTTTGTTCCTGAAAGCTTCTAGTCATCTTCATTTTCTCCACACTTTGAAAAAAGGCAGTTTTTTCTAGTCTGCTTGTGCTGAATTGTGTATTTATTTCTTCCAGCCTGTTAATCTTAAGTAGCTTCATACTATGTCCAGTTAATTTGCTGTCTGTTCTTCTCTCCACCTTAGATTCATAAACCAGTGAACACTCGTAACTTCTGATTTCTCCTCTTTCTTGGCTGTTCAAAAGAAAGATAAATAAAAGGTCTTAGTGATATTCATGCACTTTGACTTACAAAATTACCGTGTTGCAACACTTTATATTTCAACTCTCTCTCCTTATACTTGCCGAACAAGAGTATACAGCACTGCCTGTTCACAGAAACTGTTCTGCACTGAACAACAGATAATTCAAGACTACAAGACCAATATAATTGAATTCATTCATAGAAACTATTTAGCTCAGCAAAATCAATACCTACTGCTGTTGCTGCACACCTTGTTTATGGAGCACTCCTCGCTTTTTAGCCATCTTAGTGGTTCCCTTGCTGCTCAACATGTTCTCTTTCCTGCTGCAGTTCCAGCAAGTTGATATGCAAGGACCCTGCTATTAAGTCCAGAAATATTTTAGATAATAAACAAAGTAGTACAGGCATGAATACAGGCCTTTTCTGTCTCTTCCCACCATCCTGTACCACAAAAATAGGTAGTTGCCAAAATGGTGGCAATTTCTGGCCCTCTGTTGAAGGCTGCAGAAGAGCACAGTCCTCAGCTGGGTTCTTCTCCTCTGCAGGCCCTTCTGATATGCCTGGCAAGTACAGGATGTAGGATCACCGAGGCTTGTCTAACAGTAAGATTGGTTGGAAGGCCACTGCAAGTCAAGCCTTCTCTTTAGAAGGCTTTTATTCCACAGCAAGGTTGTAGGTTCCCACCTCAAGTAATCACTTGGCTATATTTGGAATATATGTCCTTCTGAAAGACTAATTTTTTAAAAAGACTATTCTAAAATTTCACTTAGCATCTCTTTCTACATCAAGGAAATAGAGGACCAAAATATTTCTATAGCTGTTATTGCAGCCCTTCCTTCACTGTACTGGAAACCCAGCTACAAAAGAACAGTGCTAATGCCTTAGCTCTAGAAAGATGAATCTGTTAAATCTCATTACACAGCTCATAGTTTCAATTTCACTTGCATAAACACCATAAATCATATGGTGTAATTAAGGACTTATATACAACCTTACAGTCACTGGCAGCACAGAGAAACAGCTTTCAGTGTACAACCAAAGACCCAATTAAATCAGTTATTTTTACCCAAACACCTTCCAACAGAAAATGTTCCTCAGTGTTTTGACCCCACATCTGTGCATGTGCAGCAGATCAAATGTGTACCTATACCAAGTAACTGCTCTGCCCAGAGGTAGCCCTCCAAGCTTCCCACATGTGAAAGATGCCACGTGCTATCCCATGTAACACAATAGATGGTTGGATAGTGGTGACATTTAAAGATGATGGACAGCAAAAAACCATGTAAGCTTGTAGCTTTCAAATGAGCCTTCCAGAGAGGTTCCTGCTACCATGTTGCTGTAGACTGTGATGTTAAAAGGGAGATGCAGGCACACCATCGTGGGCTTGTAAGGCATTGATCATCTGAAGAATTCATGCATCCATTATGTAAAAATGTCCAGTGTGCTGCACCTAGCATCTCTCACCAACTTCCATAGCTCTGACGTCCCTCCATTTCCATTGCCATCAGCTTAAAGAACACTTAATGAGATTTTCTTCCCTCATTTCTCAAAAGTAGGTTTGTGGGTTTTCTTAAAGGCTCTGACAATTGCAGGTGAAATACCCAACAGCTCATTCTGACCTTCAAGCCATTATTCTGCAGATCGTTTTATCTACTCCACAGCAAGGGATGGTAAGACGTAATCAAAAGCTGTCCGAAAAAAAATGGGACATGTTTCCAGATGCCCTGCTGCTACCTCCATGTCTGCAGCTACTCAAATTCTACGGTGATTTAGGGTGGCCTGGCTGTGAAGACCTTGTGGTCTGACAGGACTGCAACCAAGGACAGCTGATTCAGGCTCTTCAAAGAGCACATCATTCTCTATGCTTTGATCACCAAATGTGGCCATCTATCGAGTGAGAATGACACGTCCTAACTAAAGGACATGTTTCTTCAAGCTAACCAGTGAATTACTTATCTGGGAAAATATTAATGGGCTGGCAAGCTCAAATGTCTTACTGGGCTCTGTTACCAAGCAGAGACTAGGACTGAGTCCAAACATCATTGTGCTCTCCACCATTATTATCTTAATACATCCCTGAAACTAAAAGCTGAACAGTGGATGTGAAATTTGTTTGCAAGTGCCTCCTCCGAAGTCCCAGAGAAGAAAATCTCACCCTGGTCATGTGCCACTGAGCAATGGGAAACTATGACCTTCACATAGTGTGAAGCTCCATTTTCCCCCAGAGGGTGAAAACCTTCCCTCAATCATTTATATTTCCCAGCTCTTGCCTGGGACATACTTTCCTCTACTTTCTGGGTCACCTTCAGCACGCCAATCACTCACTTCAAGCAAAATATCTTGATTCATGAACCACATCTTCACTTACACACTCGGAGACCACACATGTCAGAAAAGCACTGCTTAGCTATAAGCACAGGCAGTGCATACCTGTGGTCCTCATGCTTTTTCTATCCTATAGCAGCAAATCAATATATTTGCATTATAAAAATATAAACAATGTAGTAATTATTTCTAAAACTGATCAGGAATAGAAATGGGCAGGCAAATAGGCATTAGCTGAAAAGTAGAACCCACAAACACCTCATTTCACTTCCAACATCTGAGTTTAGACTGTAATCCCTTCAGTAAGGACTAGGTTTACATGATGAGCTGTAAAGCACTTTGCTTCAAACTCAGTTCTTTGGTATCCATCATCAGTTAAAAAAAAAAAAAATATTTCTGACCTGTTGGCCACTTTCTAACCAACCATTTTCAAAGTTTAAGCCTGGGGGTACTGTTAGGCGGTAGCCAGACTTGTTTACCTCCTAATACGGCTGACATTAGACTGACCTGAATTTTACAAGCTGGGAACTATTATGTCACGGTGTATAATTAAACCTAAACATATACTTTAAGAAAGAAAACAAGATGTAATGTGGAAGGAATTACCAATGGGTCAAGTTCGGGTCGTAAATTAGGATGCGAATGGTACCTCTTTACTGTGCCCATCTTCGAAATACAACCTGCCCTTCATTCTGCATAACACAAGTTCGGGTTTGAATCTCATTTTTTTTTTAAAGTAATAATTTATTGATGGTTTTTCCACAGAGAATGACGTTTTCACGTATTTCAACGAAAGACCAGGTGGACTCGGAGCGCAGAGGCGGCGGCGATGTCGCTCAGCCCCGCGGGCAGGAAAGCCCGGGCGGACTACAGCTCCCGAAGGGCTGCGGGCGGCTCCGCTTCCTGCCGCGCCGCGGGAGCCCATGGAGCCGGCGGAGGGCGCCGAGGAGGAGCGGCCGGTGCAGTGCCCCGTGTGCCTGCGGGAGCTGCCGGGCGCCGACATCAACCCGCACCTGGACCGCTGCTTGCAGGCCGGCGGCGCCGAGGCCGAGCCCCCCAGCAAGCGGCCGCGCCTCGCCGCCGCCCCGCCGGGCGGGCAGGCCGAGGGGCAGCCGGAGGAGGCCCGCCCGGCCGCCGCGTCCCCCGTCTTCTCCCTGTTCCGCAAGGGCCGCGGCGGCGGGCGGAGCGGCGCGGGGCGGGACGAGGCCGCCGCGCCGAGCGGGGACAGCCTGGCGCAGAAGCTGCAGGGGAAGCCCCTGGCCGAGCGGCTGCGGCCGGACACGCTGGGCAGCTACGTGGGGCAGGAGCGGGTGCTGGGGGCGCAGACGCTGCTGCGGTCCCTGCTGGAGGCCCACGAGATCCCCTCCCTCATCCTCTGGGGGCCGCCGGGCTGCGGGAAGGTGAGTGCGGCCAGCCCCGCTCCCCGCGGCGGGGTCGGGCCGGCGCTGCTTCACGTGGCTCGTGAGGCCGCTGCACGTAAAACTTGTTAATTGTCGGACTCACTGCTTTCTTCGCCCTTTTCTCTTCTTGGTTCCTTATGTTGGCTGATGTCCACTAGTTTTCACTTAAGAGTACAAAAAACACAACCTGCCTCATGAATAAAATAAAATTGGTCCGTCCCCATCAGCCCCGCTCCATGCAATTTGAACTTAGGTTACGCAAAGACTCTCTTGCTTTCAGGTAATTCAGATTTTGTGACTCCTAAGTCCGTACCTAAAACACAAGCCGCGCTTTAGTTAATGGCTGAGAAGCTGAAAAACAGCAACACGGAATCTCTAAATAGAAGAAACCAGCAGATTGATACAGAACAATTAGGTTTGTTTTAGCCTGCAAATTCTTGCCCCTTAGAGAAGGCAGCACTGGTGTGGAAGGCAGGTAGTCTTAGGGCTAGGCACTCATCCACCTTCAACCACTTTTAGGCTGGTGGGTCTTTGTGGGATCTGACCACTGCATCTTTGTGTTCTGCCTCCTTAACATACATGGGGCCATCGTGAATCCCCAAAGACCCTCTAGCACAGGATCCACAGTTGTTGTGAGGGAAGGTCCAAAGGAATGCTTCAGTTATGCTTGAGCAGTCTTTTAAGATCTCGCCTTAATATTGTCCTGTTCCATGTATTTCAGATTTGTGGTGTGGCAGGGCAAACAATGCAGTTTTCTCAGTCAGTCTAGTGTGTTCACAGCATTTAGTTTCATGTATCTTATATTTATATAATTTGGTGTGTTGGCTGTGTGAGAGTATATTTGAGAAAGCTGGGATAGGGGAAGTAATTCATGCTTAGCAGAGAAGTTAAGGACAGAGCAGCAGCTTGCTCTTATCAACATACTTAATTGAAAATAAAAGAGACCTGCTATGTGGTATTTGAATAATAATGCTAGTCAATCACAGTAAATAAGGAGCAGGTGTTAGAATTAAATTACTAGTATTAGCAATGATACAGCAAGTTTTTTAGGCTAGATAACATACACCTCAAAATAACCAATTTCGGTAATTGCCGCTTTAAAACAACAAAGTAATAGCAGAAAGTAAGAGCTCAGAAAGAAGGGCTGTTTTTGAAACCTGATTAAAGGGGAGGTGGATTGACTGAAGTAAGATGGCCAGAGAGAAAAGTGGAATTCAGTTCTTTGATAAATAGGAATTCTCCTTTCTGAATGCGTAACGCATTCAGGGGCTTGCTTCTATATTTTTGTGGTTTCCTGCCTTTTGTTTCTTGTTATTTCTGTCAACAGCATGTGCTTGCTCTTTCTTGAAGCCCTCTTTGCTTAGGAAAAAAAAAAAACTGTAAAAGTGCAGTGGTAGCAAAGCAAAGGCTGCAGAGTAGTCCCTGCAAACTGGCACTGGCTTCAGTGGCCTTTGGATTGTGATCCGATGAATGCACCTGGCTTTGACCATGGAAGTGCTTCTTCATGAGCTTGTGACAGTTTAACAGTTGTGTTCCAGGTCTTCTTTAGGTGGCTTTGAAACCTTCTGAAAGTGTCTTTGAGTAATGGGCGATCTGTTTTATCCCTGTAATGTCATAGCTTTAATTCTCCTTTCATATGACGCATCCTCCTCACCCATATGCTTTACGCATAATTGTATTTAGTAAGCTTGCTTTTCACAGAGCTAAAATTCTGTTGCTCCTCAGTTGTCTGACTTGCATAATTTCTGTGCCTTTTGACCCATTAAAGAACAATTCCACAACTCATCTGTTATATTTTTGTTCGCTGAGTACTTATACTATTGGGTAACTTGTCTGCTTTCTAGGTTTTTCCTTCTCAGCAGAGTTTTGAGTGTATGTGCTTTCAGCTAGCTCCTGATGAAATATCCATTATTGGCTGAACCAGAAATTCCTTCTGCAAAAAGTTGAACTTTGCCTTTCTAGGAGGGTGCTAGATCTCAGGCCTTCTTCTCCTTAAATCATATTGTCTGTCTGAGTTAAATATCTGAAACTTCTATTTTTTTCATGGGTATGCCCTTGTAAAATTCCTCTCCTAACAGCTTTAACATGCAAGCAAAGTAGTCTGCCTGAAGATGGAAAAGGAGATGAGTTCTTGCCTGCCTATCTCGATCACTTGCTATTTGAGTTGTATGTATATAATGTGTCTGAGGAAACATTTCATGAGAAAGCAGCTTAAGGCTTGAAAACTTGAAAGATCCTGTGGAGGATAAGTATTCTCACTGCCTCAGGACCTGGTTGGACTGATCAGCAAAAACTTCTTCCATTAAGTACAGTGCTTTTCAGCAGGAAAAACACTAAGAAATAAATGTGTGCTGTATAGTCTCATATGTAACAAGGCCATATGCTAAGCTCTGCCCATCAAAGAGCTAAAATAGCAGCATAATTAGATATGTTGGTCTAAATTCAGAAGTGCTGTGTAAGGTGGTCATACATTTCTTAAACCTCTTCAGGCTCTTGCTACCCATGGAATCTGGTTATTGCAGCCCATCTATGCCTTCTTCCATTTCTACAGCCAAATGCCATGCTAACTGATACTTTTGAAAAGGGTAGAGCAGGACTAAGTTAAAAAAAAAGAAAACTGAACATGGAATAAATCATCAGGGCCAAATTTCAAATCAATTTATATATTTTTTAGTCTGGACCTTTATGAAGAATTGTAGTTTAACAGACTTTTTCTAAGCAAGAAGAAAATAATCTTGCCTTTTAAAGTGCTATAAATGTAATATTTCATATTGTAGGTCAGGAGTACTTTTGGAGAATTTTTATCATGATAACAATAAAGCTAGGTATTGGTGTAAAAACACGTGTGCTATGTAACTGCTCTGCCCAAGTCAATTTTGTCCTTAGTTGCACTTGAATATTCAAGGAAACATCCTCAAAATTGAAAAGAAAAAATGTGGGTATTTCCTTTGTGATCCTATTTTCTTTTGAGTTTCCATCCTCTTACTTTAAGGGAACATGATCTTTGTACCTTGAATTTGTCATCCTAATTACATAGGAAGCCAAAGTGCTCTGTGTTAAAAGACTTTGACTTTTTGTTTGCACTTTTGTCCCTCAGAAGTCTTGAACACAAGACCTAGTTTCCTTCATTTAAGAAGCTGACCAGACTCAGGCCAGAAGAAACACTGCTTCAAAGAGATGCCGTGGTTATTAACTTAGGAACAGTTAGCTTGTTCATACTGACTATGCAAATTTTTAAAGGCCTCTATAAATCCGAGTGTAATGTGAGTAAGCTGTGCTGTGATTTATGGCACCTTAATACAGGGATTTAGATTTTTGCATGTCTGCCATTGGGGCACCAATTTTAGTAAAGAGTTAGCAGGGGGATACAACGTAACTTGAGCACCGAATAATTTTGCTGCCACAGATGAAGTTTAAGCCTTATAAACCTGAACATTCTGTATTTAAATACTGTAAACATTCCCTCTTATGACTGCTGCGTAACAAGAAAAAAATAGGTACCAAGTGGCATGAACCTACTCTTTATAGAAGATAAGACAAAGAGCATTCTTGCATGATTTTTTCAGATTCATGTGTGCACTCTAGTAATAAGATAAAATATGCAAAAAACCCAGTAAGTGGTCTTTGAAGTTTCTATCAAATCTTCTCTGACATTATATTTTATTTCTAGAACTCCCTTATATTTCTTTTCTTTGTTTGCATTCAATAAATGACTTCTTGAAACACAAGTAGAGAGTCCAACACCTATATTGGTGCCCATGTATTTATTAACACTTCCCAGTGCTTCCTGTTTTGCTAATTCAAGTGGTTACCTAACAGGTTGATTGCTTGAGTGTATTTCATCTTCCTTTACTCATACAGCTTGGGCCCTGATTTGGACCATTTGAAGTAATGAGTTCTCTAAATTGATTAGCATGAAACTTTAAACTGCAAATGCATCATGTCTTTTACAGAAGTGTAAACTCAAAAGTCCAGGACAGCTCTGAAAAATGGGTTTGTCTTTGCAGTTGCCTGGGAGCAGTGTTGTAATGCAGTGTGCTTGGTTTTGGTTATGGCAGTCTAAATTAGGAATAACTTGGAGTGGCTCTCTAGGGAGAGCACGCTGGAAGAGAAGATACAATTGTATCCATAAAGCAGTTGGAATGTAAGTACCCAGGTCGGGAATACAGCAAATGGAGATGCGGCTCCATTTCAACAAACATTATGCAATGACCTTGCATCTGTTTATGCTTGGTTGGGTTTGGATTCTGGAAGTGCTGTAAAGCACATGCTGTGTCTCTTGTTCAGTGACACTTACTCCTCCAGTAGTATCTCAGTGGGCTATTTGGGGTTTGAGGAACCAAACAAGATGGGTAAGAATAGCATCTGCCCTTATATAAATGCCAACTGCTGCTACTTTTGATTGTGTTTATCTGTATAGACAGTGTCCCCAGGCCATGTTCACCTGCTGTGCTGCCAATTTCCTTTAGACACGGCCTGGCTTATCTCCTGTGACGCAGTGTGGTACAGAGAACATCCACAGAGCTACATCCCAGAGAACTGCTGCCCTGCGCGGCATCCAGGGATGCTGTTGGTGTCTCCCTCAAGGCAGTGAAACAGAGCACAGCCTTTCCTGATTGCTTGGCAGCCACAATACAGCCCTGCTGCCAGCAAAGGGAGGGTTGATGGTGAAGGGAGGCCATTGATGGCAACACCATGTAAACAAAGATTTAGAAATCCTGGCAAGAATAAAGGAAGAGCAAAAAATAGCCAGAAAGTCATGGTCAAACAGGAGCAAAGAAAATCTGGGTGTTAGTTCAGCACTCTGATAACATAGCTTAGACCCTACAAGTCTGTAGGTGTAACTTGCCTGTTGTGTTTTGCACTAGACTTATCAGTCATGTTTGTGTCATCCCTGCCACAAGCATAATTCACATTGTGGTTTGCTCTGGAACAAACCAGCAAAGTCACTTGTTGGGGAAACCTAGATGCCAACTAGATTATCCCTGCTCAGGATTAATCCATAATGCGCTGCACTTGTACCAGTCTGTGCCAGATCTGCTTTGGTCACCTAAAATGGGGCCTGGCAGAGCACACAGACTTCCAGACTTCCTGGGAGAACCATGAAGGACCTTAGGCTTCACGGTGTTCTTGATATAATCTAACCCTGTGTTCTAACCCCTTCCCAGTTTTTTCCAGTTCCACTTCCTGAAGTGAGCTAGGCATTACCACTCTTCATTCTTGTCAGGAGCTTTGGTGAGTTAATGTGATGAGCATGGTTTAATGGCTTGGTACAGGGCTGCAAAAATCAAAAAGACCACCTTTACTTCTGAGCAGGTGGTCCTTGAACATCAACATCAGTAAGACTGGCTTAACTTGTATGAGCTTTTTACTGTTTTCTTCCAGCTGTGGATGTGAGGGAGCATTGACTAATGGCAGTGCAGAGAGGAGAGTTGCTTAAAGATCATGCTTAAAGAGTGTTGCCCAGTCAGGGAAACTTCTGGGTATACAGAAAATTCTTATCTCCTAGTACAAACACCCAGCTTACCAAACAACAAATCTGATTGACTTTTCTACTCTTACAGTGCGAGGTGTGTGGAGCCAAGCATGTTTTGTGGGTTGCTTTTGTTTTTTCCATAACTTGTATCAAAGCCTAGAAAAACAGGTAGCATAGTTGTTGTGAGCGAGCTTGTTTGTTTGGGGTTGGTTTTTTTTGTTTGGTTGGTTGCTGGCTGTTTGTATATCTGAGATCTTTTCAGCCACTGGGAAAGGATATTCTCATTTGGGCTGACACAAAGCAATAGGTACAGGATGGTGAAGGAGAGTTTCAGTAGTTAAGTGTTCTGTGTGTAATGGGTCTGGAAATAAATGACCAAAGGTGGAAGTTAAGTGTTATTCATTGATGAATAATGGTTCAGAAGTTTTGTGGTGAATATATGTCTGTTTCAGATCAGCTTTTTATGATGTCACTGCTGTAGTTTGTCTAAACATGTAGATCAGTAAGATCTCACAGTATTCAGCATAAAAGTTGAGATAATAGGTACAAGTTTGCATAGTTTAGCATCATAGTAGAAGAGAACTAAGAATGGTTTCTGGAAGGGGCGAGGATATTACACTGTGAGCTTTGTAATGATGTTCTTTTTAGTGAAGTTAGCAAAAGGTTAGTTTGCAGGAGCACTGGATCACTTCTATTCTTAATTTGTGGGAAATAATATTCCTGCTCCTACACATAAAGAAAAAAAACATGAACTAAATAAGAAACACCTGTATTATAAAAGGAGCACATTATCAACTTGTTTGGATTTCCTTTTTCTGCCTGTTAACGCAGATTCTGATTTAGGGGTACTTACAGTAAATTGCAACATCACTGTCACTATTTTAATAGATTTGTTTTCCGCTGTAAGAATAAAACTTCAAAATTTATTTTAGATGATGAAGGATAATCAGTGTGTTTTCTTCTGCCTTATTGCATATCAGGTTTCTAATATTCTTCTTGTCTCTTAAATACATTGCCCATGAGGGAAACTAGCATATGAGTTAGTTGTTCTGTGCTAGTGCCTTCATACTTAAGTTTCTTTGCTTATGTGAATTCTCCACTAGGTTATGTGTTTCTTTAGTTTGTACCCTGAATTAACAAAGAGGGAGAAAACTGTAGCTTGAGATGGTAGTACAAAAAGCAATATAAAAAAAATTGAACTCAAGGGAAGTCTTTCAGAGAACCAGGGAAAGTTTTACATCTGTGATAGGCAGTTTGACTTGCTGAATGATTGATTGTGCAGAACAGAAGGAAGAGGCTGTGAACATGCCTGTCCTTGTCAAGCATTGCATTTGAAAGGCAATGTATGTTATTCTTATTGCAACCTTTGGTGACCCACAAGTTGGCACTGGGGAGAGGTATCTACTGGCTGAGATCCATGCAGCAGATTTCAAGTTGATTCTTGGTCTAATGGTAACTTTCAAACAAATCTCTTTGAACTTTTTTCCCTAAATTAGAGTTGGAAATACAGACTCCTGTGCATGTGTTTAAAACAAAGTCCTTACTGCTTTTTTTGTAAATAACAAAACTCTATGAGTGATGGCCAGGTTACAATGTCCAAGTGAAGCTACAAGAAGAGTGGCTGCTTTACTTTTTTTCTTTGTTCTCTCACCACTGCCACTTTTAGAGAAGGAAGAGGTACATTTTCCTTTTTCATCCCCAAATTTGATGTATTGGTGTTTCTGTGCTTTCAGAGATTTTTATGGCATGGATATATCCTCTGAAGTTACATTCTGAATCAAGACCCTTTTGTAAGGAAACATGAATATTGGTTTTAACTTGGTAGCTCAGTTTCAAAGATAGTTTTCTTTTGGTTTTGGTGGAGTAGGGGTGGAATTTGCTTATTTGTTTATTTTCTCAGATCTTTCTAATATCTGTCAGCTTTGCTGCAAACACTTTCCAAGTGTCTTTCCAGTCTTGTCCTTTGCAATGATACAAGTTGGGGATGGGCTGGTTGATGGAGCTCCAGGAAGAGAGGAAGAATCAGACATGGGATGTGAATCTTGTATCAGGACCTGAAATGACACCACTTCTGAAGGCAATCAGGAAGCCCTTACTAAAAGTAAAGCAAGAATAAACAACAGTATATCCTTCTCCTTAGCCTCCCATTTTCTAACTTGGGCTGGTTGTAGTTTTTCAGGGACAAGGAGATCCATTAAATGGACAGAGCTGGGTACTGCAACACCGTTGGTAGCCAAGTGGTAGGTGCTGGTTTCTGCAGCCTCCCTGCAAGAGGATCAGGTTGACACCACCTGCTGCTTTAACCTCAGCACTTAGAATATCTTCTGAGGTGGTTTTGTTGGCACCTGTCCCAGTCCTCATCTGCTGAGGCTCTCCTGTCTTCGGTCTCCTTTGGATCCTTCTCTAATAAAACAGTGAGCTTGAAGTGCTTCCCTGGCAGTACTTTCAAATAGAGATACATTCTCTTTGGGGCATATACCTGTGTTTACTAAGGGCTGTGAAGGAAAGTCTCAAAATCATGTCTGTTATATGTTCCAGTGTAGTAAATCTACCTAGGAGTTTGGTGGAGGTTGTGTCTGTGGTTTGGTAGGCTAAGTGAAACTATAAATAAAGTTGAAGAGGTTGTTCATAAGGACTAGGCAGGTGTCTTGGGGTAGTCCAGCTCTTTATCCATTAACGTGCTCCACAAAATAACTGCACAGGGAATTGCAGTCAGCCCGTCTTCTGTGACAGAAATGTATTTGGCAGAGAGTTCTTCTTCCGTGACAAAGAAGACAGCTGTCAGTGCTGTCCTTTTCAGTGCTGAGGCTCACTGGGTCTGGTACGTAAAAGTGCAGGCATTGGAAATGCAGCAGAGGAATTGGCAGCTACCTCTAGCAGGAAGTTTTTAAGTCTTCTGTGCCCTAGAATAACGTGAGCTAAAATGCCTTAACTCTCTAAACTGTCAACACTGTCCCTATGTCCAAAATATACCTTTGTTCTTTACATATTTCTTTCAAATTGGTACTTTGTGTCTGAATTGATTTTTACAAAGCTTTCTCCTATTGCTGTTTCAGACTACACTGGCACACATCATAGCCAACAGCAGCAAAAAGAATGGCATGAGGTTTGTGACACTGTCAGCCACAAGTGCCAAGACAAATGATGTTCGAGATGTCATCAGCCAAGCCCAGAATGAAAAAAGGCTCTTCAAGAGAAAAACTATCCTCTTTATTGATGAGATCCATCGTTTTAATAAATCTCAGCAGGTATTGTACTACGCTGCTTTTTTAAAAGAGCCTTTGTCAGCACTTCTGTAAAATCTCCCACTTTGCCTTAAGGTGATACATTCCTCTGGGCTTTTAATTTCAATGTTAATACTTTTAGTAGATGAATTTGGGAGAAACGTAAAAATTAAATTCCTTAGCTAACTTCCAACCAGCATTTAATTACTGTGATTCAAGGCTTTAAACAAAAGGCTGAATTATACTTATAGTTGACTTATGTGCCAGTCTTTATATGATATTTTTATGAGACTTTATTTTTGCAAAGTCATGTTAGTAATGCTTGCTGCATATATCTTCATTTCAGCCTCCATCTGGGGGGTAACATTCTGTATTACCTTTACAAAGGTCTAGAATGTGAATGTGCCAAAGGTGGTTATTTTAATGTTGTCCTCTCTTCTGTGTGAGAAGAAATAAGTCATGGCATGGTACTTCAGGATGACACTGCAGCCATCACTTGGGCTTTTTTTCTTTTTCCATTCCTAGGTATAGGATTTTTTTCAGTTGTGCCATGGAAAGCTTGAATTCCATACTACAGAAATACTACTGTATTTAAATTGAACTATTCTGTAATCTTCCTGTAGTTTTCTGAGTACAGAATTAGGCAGGGAATTGTAGCCCTAAAGTTTGATTCAAAGTGTATTTAGGAGTAGCCTCGCTGTTATACTTGATAAGGCAGTTTCATGATTTCTTGTATTGCCATGCAATAAACCAAAGTCACACAAACACAAAATTTGCAGATTTCTTTACCCTATTCCTTTTGCAGTCATTTAATATTAAGGTGTTGGGTGCATGAAATTAAATCATTTCTATATGTATGCAGATGAACTGCCCTGCCAGTGTGGTTATTTATCATATCAACAGGGTACCTAAAGTCTCACAAGACACAAAAAAAAAAAGTAGCCTACTCACATGGGATGTTTCAGGTTGTCATTGATTGAGATCAGCTTTTTCTGCTTCCCTCCCATGCTCAGGACACTTTCCTTCCTCACGTCGAGTGTGGGACGGTGACTCTGATAGGAGCGACCACAGAAAACCCTTCCTTCCAAGTCAACGCCGCGCTGCTGAGCCGGTGCCGGGTGATTGTCCTGGAGAAGCTCTCGGCTGAAGCGATGGAGGCAATTCTGATGAGGGCTGTCAGGTTCTTAGGGCTCCAAGTATTGGGCCAGGGTGACCAGCACAGCACCCCTGCGACTGACAGCGGCAGCAAGAGCTCGGAGTGAGTACTTTATGGGCTGCAGGGTGTTAACGTGCACAGCCCGAGGAGCTGACTGCCTGCCAGGGAGAGAATGAAGCAGTTGGGGGGTGGGAAGAGAAACCCTAGCCACTTCTGATAGTAAAGAAAAGAAGTGGCAGCATATGGCAGGGGCGGGGGTGACAGGAGAGAGAGAATTCAAAGCATTGGCTCTCTCCATCCAAAACATAATCTTACCGTCTGGATTAGGAGAGAATTTTATACTTGGATCCGTAACTCCTGACTCACCCTCTCAGGATATTTAAATCTGTTCTGCCACAGAGGATTTGCTGTAGAAGCCTGTATCTGGGTCTTTGTCATGTCCTAATGTGTGTTACTTCTTGCTACTGATTGTAAAAGCATCATGTTACCATTAGGTGCTGGATGGGATATTCCTTCTTAATTTAGAAGTGCCTGCCAGGAGTTTGTTGTTTTCCAATAATTTTTTTAAAATAAGATTAGGGAGGATGATGGTGCTTCTGTTCTTTAGTTTCAGGATAAGTCCTCTGCTGTGTTTTAGGATAACCAGTGACAAGAGAAGGCTGTTGCTGTGAGATGCTAATAGATTGTTTTAAGAGAGACTTTGTTTTTCTCTGCTTCTTGATGACAGATAAATGCATATTAAACACTTGAGAAAGTTTTGGAAAAAAACAACATCCAGATTTGTCTACAAGAGATGTTATCTGCCTTCTGAAACAGGAGGCTGGCAAGTAAGAGTAATGCATGGTACTGTTGTACTCACATGCAAGCTATTACACTTCCTTCGTGCTGGTTCTTGGCTGCGCTCCTAGTAATTTACAGTGCATTGGTATGGTGGTGATTGACAGACTGTATGAAATAAATGAGAGGGAATCCACTTGAACTTTACCACAGAATGTAAGCACAAAGAATTGCCAGCCTGAATGCTGAGGTCAGGACAGGTAAGGAAAGGTATTACTTTTTTATTTTTAGGTTACCCTGCCTTACGGTTTACTCATTTGTCATTTTTATGTGTTGTAGTAATGTGAATTTTAGAAGAGAAGGCAGTGCTGCATGTCAGCATTAATGCAGCGGCACAGCTGTGATTGTGGCTACACCCTGACTGGGGTTCAGAGTCTTTCCTTTCTGTACAGGATTAAAGTACAAGGCATAGTTTCAGCTGCAGTTGTTTGGGTTTGGGTTTCGCTGGACTCTCCATGTCTGTAACCTGTAACGATAGCTATGGATGATTTAAACAGCGCAGTTCTTCATCAAACTGAAAGAAGTCTGGAAGGCGGAGTGTCAGACTAACACAGTTTCTCCCCATGGGAAGAGAGGGCCACACTCCAAAGGCAGTTATGGGAGCCAAGCCTTTAAAAATAAAAATGGAGGTTTGAACTGAGGAGATTTTGTTGCAGTTGTGTGTCAGGTCTTTCATATCTTTCATTTTGTAATCTGGTGCTGGGCCACAGTTCCTACATTCTGTTGCTGATAAATTCAGATTTTTATAAGCCATCCACCCTCCTGTGGTTCTGGTTTGGATTCCTCATTGATTCCTGCTTCTTGCTTCAGTGTCCATTCTATTTCTGCTGCTTCATTTTCTCTCCACTGCTCTACAGGAGCAACTGTCTCAGCTTTTTACTTGCTTGCCTCTATGGAACAGAACTGTCATTAGATGCAGGCAGGTAACTGTTCATGCTGTCCTAAAGAAAAATGGAAATCACCAATTACAATTGATTTGGTTGTTAATGGTGGTGGTGCTCACCTTTATTCCAGAGTGAGAAAAGGAGCTGTAAGCCCCAAATGGTGGGGCTTTAAAATGCTGTAGAGATCTAGCAGGAAGGCACAAGAGATGTGTACATTGAATTTTGGGTTTCATTTCCCATGTGAGTCTCCCTTTCCAAGCTAAAGCAGTGTAATATGTGCTACTTGGCCTCAGTTAATCACATGGTTTTAGTATCACATCACTTGACAGGATGGCTTACCTAAAAGAGATTTTGAATTAGAAGATGATTCTTTGTGGTCTCTCCTATTACCCTGATGAATAAGGTGAGGGTGAATCTTCCTTAGACTTTACAGGCATTTTCTGTGCTTGGCAAGAATGCAGCCATCCCCAAGTGATTCAATAGATTTCATCATCTGCACTCCACAAGGAATGTATGCTCTACCCAAAACTGTTACCTTAGATTTTATTTCTGGATTTTTCTTATCTTGCTTCCACTACTGCTGCAGGTTTCTGATAAGGTTAGATCACCTGGATTCTCTTTCACTCCACCATGGCCTTTTCTTACTCTAAAGCTGGAGCAGCTAGCAGTGGGTGTTATTTCTTGGATATCTTTCTATTTGTTGTGTCATTATGGTTCACAGAGGTTCCTTGACAGTTTTTATGTTAATTACTGGATTTCTTTAGGATAATATGTGCTTTTTGTTGTATTTTCATCAGCATTACTGCCATCTAAGTGCCTCTGAAGTCTTCAGTAAATGAAGCTGAAAGATGGAGAAATAGGAAAGGAAGAAACATAATCACAATGAAGAGAAGTAAGAAGTCAATACTAAAGATGTTTTTTATTGTTCTTTCTGCAATTTTTACAGTGTCAGTAATAGCACAAGCAGTTCCAGGTGTGCACTGATACATTACAGTAGTGCTGTGTCAGTGGTGGAAGAAACCAAATTCTTCTGTTGGCTTTTTATTTTTGTCATTCAAGTGCTGCCCTCTGAATGGTATCTCTAAATGAAGTCAGATAGTAAACTGGATGGTTGATTAATGTGTTTGATGCTAGATAGCACAGAAGGCACACAGCTGAGGGAAATGGAAGGAGCCCCAGGTTCCTGTTGGCAAGCCCAGATATCATGCAGTTCAGCTTGTTACTGGCTGTATTACAAGTTCTGGCGTGTTTTGAATTCACTGGTTCGTAAATCACAACACTGAAGGTGAAATTCCTTTGGATCTTCAGTGCTCAATACTTTCTTGAAAATTATTCCTTTGTTGGAATATCCATTCAATTTCCTTGCAGGAAATGAGTTGCTGAGGTGAGAGGCAATACTGGAAGAAAATGCTGTAAGGCAGTGAGCAGTGTATACCACACTGCAGTAGTTCAGTTGAAGAACTGTGTTTGCCTGTAAAAGTGTTGGAATCTGCCAAAGAGTGAACATAGTGAGAATAATTGCACTGAGAAAGTAAGAAAGTACTGATTTATATGGCAAAGAAGCAGTGGGTGCTTTATCATGTTTTGCTCAGTAATTTTTTAAATCTTTGATCACACAGGTTCTCCTTGTTTGGGCTTCCTAATATTTACTCCCTGATACTGCTTATACTGTCTTGTCATTGGCTCAAGTGCAGTGTTGCTGTGTGGGTTTAATGGGTAGTTCATCATACATTTCATGTTGGTTCTTGGCACAAATTGTCTCGAGGGTATGGCGATAAAGAGGAACTGGAAGAAGGATTTATTATCCTGTAGTGGTAGTTTTCCATTCCTTGAGCTAGTATATCACCTTCAGCCCAGTGAGTGATGGACCTCAGCACGTCCCTTTTGGCTTGTTTATGTTTTTGTCTCCAAGTATCATTGGTTACAAGGTACCAACATTGACCATTGGCATCCAGTGGGTGTTAGGTGTTAATTTTGGAAGTTGAGTAAAATATGGGATTGCCCATCTGCAAGCCTATCGGGAGCTTGGAAAGAAGTCAGAAAGCATAGGAGTTATTCTGCCTTGTGGTTCTGATGGGTGCAGAAGTTGGGTAAGCTGGAGGGAGTAGGGCACTTGAGCATCTGGAGACAGGATGGGCTTAAAACTGTGAAACACAAGTGGTTTATGGCAGCCAAGGTATTGAAATAATTGCCATCCTAATTTTGAAATTAGACTCCTGCCTGGTGAAGTTAAATCATCAGAAGATGGAATTTAAGGTCTTAGTTATTCAGAAAAAAAAAATCTCAATTCAGTTTTTCTGAGTATGACTTTTTATTATTTTTAAATACTGTGTGTGTATGGAGCTGAGATTATGCAATAGGGAAGCACTATGTTGTTTCCAATCAGTGATTATCATCAATGTGCTGTGTAAAAAGCTTGTATGTGGAAGTTTTCTCCATTTATTCTTGTTCTTTATCATATCCTGCATGTCATGCTCCTGCATGCATGGACTGGTCAGCCAATACATAATTCATTATTTGGATTGGAATTGCCATTGCTCTTAGGTTAAAAGTGAAATTTCACCATGGAAATGGACAAGTCCATTGCTTGTAACCAGATTTTTCATACTTTCTTGTGAATATTTGTTTCACTTTCTGTAATATAAATTGCTTATGTTGAGTCAACAGAGCAGTTAGAGTCCTATAGTGAAACAAGAGACAGGAATACAACTCAGCTTTAAATTAGGAGATAAATTGCAAAAGTGCTCTGAGGCCTCATCTCTTTTTTGGGAAAGACTGTATTTAGCTTCTTCCAAGGTAGTACCTGCCTTTTACTGCTCTCAATGCTTTGCCTCTACTTGCAGTCACTGCCTGCAGTTATGGTATCAGTGTGAAGAGGCCTCAAGCACAGGGTGTACTTCTCTGCAAGCAGCAGGCAAAGAGCTTAGTCCTTGCAGGTGAAACCTTCTGTCAAGTATGCCCTGCTGGTGTGTGAGAAGTGTGTGCTCAGCATGTTGTACATTTGGGATAATTTCTGTTGAAGGAGGTATTAGCAACAAGATGTCTGCATGTAGTGTGTGCTGTTTTTTTATAAACAGCTTTTGCTTTCCTTGCTGGCTTTTTTAATTTAATGTTTATGAAAGATCTGGTGCACATCTGTGGTGCTTAGGGATGAATGTTGCTTCCTGATTTCCAAGGAGTTTGATGCTTGAGATAATTGACTTGATAAGTCCCTGTGCAGTTGTGTTCAAAGATGGGTGTTTGAAACACCCTGGCAAAAGCGCCACTGTATGTGTGTTAATTTTTTTTTTACTAGATTCATCAAATACATGGGAAATAAGGAGATGGAAAAAAGTCATGATAAGATGCATGTGATGCATCTATTTTTGCCAGGGTGTGATTCCTACTGTCTACTCTCTGCAGACTGGGATTTGCCCCTAGAAGACATTTGTTAGCTTTCACTTATAGTGGTTGATTAAAGATTGCAGCTCTACGAGTTCTTCCTTTTAATGTGTGGCCATGAGAGAACTCACATAATAATAGCTAAATTTTTTCCAGAACCTACAGTCTTTTTCTTTTGTGTGACAAGTGCAAAGTGGTTTGCAAGGAGGAAGAGAAGGCAAGTAATGAAAATCAGTGAACATGTCTGTCTGGGAACCCTGACACTGCCTTTTTCTACACTATTGGTCATAATAGTAACACATCTTTTGGTAAATGAAGTGCAGGGCTGTTGTGAATCCTTAATTATTTGACACACAAGAGCTTCATAAGAAATGGCCTCTCACACCAAGCTCTATGTGCTAATCCTTACTGATACCTGTCACTCTTGATTTACAGTGCAGCTACTAGAAGTAGCTCAGTTAGGGTCATTAATGTCATGTTTTAATTCCATTAGCTACTGTCTCCAGATCAGTTGCACCCTCTGCCTGGCAGCACCTTAGATGTTACCTTGTCTACATAACTTAGTAGGTTTGAGGGTTAAATCCTCAACAGGGTGCCATGCAGAGGTGAACTGGTTTGGATGTGTCCCAGCAGTGACAACTGCAGCCTAGCAGATAAAAACCTAGAGAAAAAACTTGAGCACTCTGTTGTTCTCACAGATTTTTCATGGACTCACTAGTCTCAGGAGATCGTGCTGCTGCATTTCTCAGGTCTTCCCATCTTCATAGAATCACTGAATAGTCTAAGCTGGAGAGGACCCACAAGGATCATCAGGTCCAGCTCTTAAGTGAATGGCCCATACAGGGATCAAACCCTTGATGTTATCAACACCATGCTTCAATCAACTGAGCTAATCTCAGTGATTTGTTCATTTAGATTATGATTTCAATGGAATTTTGCCTTTTTCACGTTTGTATAGTTCTGGCACACTTAGAACGGTAGATGGCAAGAAGAGTGATGGACATGTATTGGGAAGCAGCTTCTTTCGAGTAAGGTTTTTTTTTGTACCCCAGTGACTAAGTTGTAATACCAAAAAAATGTGGGTTTTACATTGTAAACAATCTTTCCAGTTGTTGCTTTCTAAAGAACAACGGATAGCACCTCTTGTTGTTAGTAGTTCAAAATGTTATGTAATGACTTTATAATTCGCTCTATTCTCTCACCTGCATTTGGATAGCTTCCTACCTTTTTCCTGTTCTTCCACCAAGGAATTTGAAGTGCTAGCAGTGAAATGCTGGTTGAGTAAAACCTTGTAAAGTTCAGCTGGCTGTATCAGAATTGGGCTGTGGTAAAAACCTAACCCTAGTTTTTGTTGAATTTAATGAGATGAGGAAAAATAGGGGGTTAAATAGATCCTGCCCTACATTTTTCATGTGCAATTGTATTTAGCAGGCATTAGAGCAGGAGGAAGAGGATGGGCCCCTGGCTCTGCAGGATGAGTTAAGACAAATCTTAAACCCAGCTGTGTATCAAGAAATCTAAAAGGTCATCTCCAGCACAAGAGGCAGAGAGGAGTGTGATGGGGGCTAAGGGTGTGTGGTTATTCTGTTGCAGATTACCGGTGTGCATAGAGGAGAAAGCTCTGAACACACTTGCCTATCTTTGCGATGGGGATGCCAGGACTGGGCTGAACGGACTCCAGTTGGCAGTTCAGGCCAGAGTAGCAGTGGGAAGGACCACTCCTTTGAACACCACTGCCAAAGGTGGTGCTGCAGATTGCATTCTGGTAACAGAAGAGCATGTAAAGGAGGGGCTCCAGCGATCTCACATCCTGTATGACCGAGCAGGTGAGTAACAGATGCAATTTCTGAGATGCAGTGTTCTCAAAATGTGCTCTAATTCCTCTTTCTTCTCCTTTTTTTGTACCAGCTGCTTGAAGTTTGTCCTAAAAGTTACTTTTCCTCTACAGTGTAGTTTAGCTGAAAATTCCTTCTCAACCAAGCAGTGTAGATTAGCTGAAAGACCTATTTGCTGTCCTGAGAACAGTTAGTTGCATGGTGAAATTATTTGTTATGTAAGGTCTATGAGTTTTCAGTGAAAGGGGCAGAAGAATTTTATGGCAACATTTTTCTTGAAGGGGTGGATATCTTCTGTTGCACTTCTACTGCTTTGAAAGTCTTGGAAGTGCTCACATCCATAGCAATATGTTATGTCAAAACCTGAGTAGTTTGCTTTATTTTTAGAGTTGCTTTTTAAGGTAATGAATTCTGTAGCTCACTTAGGGCAGGCCACATAAATTGTATTGCACTTAATGCTTCCTAGTGTGATAACCACTCTTGCTAAATTTGTGACTTGGCAATCTTAGGCATCACAGTAGTTGGCCACTAAACCATTTTATGTTAGAGGGTTAAAAATCAGTATCAGATTAGATGAATCCACTTGAATGCATATGCTAGTTCTTCAGCAACACTTGAATGGCTGTGCAGAACACTATGAAATTATTATGCCAAGCAGCATTTGGAGAACTGATTTTTTTTTTTTTTTTTTTTTGCCACTGTTTCTGATATGCTGCATTAACTGCCACTGTTCAAAACCTGTGATGAGAGGTTTCTTGAGGTTGGTTGTAATTTATGCCCGCTTGCAGCCTTCTTGCTACAAAGAAATAATGATGACTCACTGTCAGGAGAAAGGCAGCTGGGCAGATACTGATCTAATGGCAGCTGAGAAGTCGAGGGCAGGCAGGGGGAGGGAGAAGAAAAATTTTATGAGGTCTGTGGCAGAAAGAGGTCATGATTAGAAGGAAGTGGAAAATCTGATTGGTTCACTGGTACGAGTCTCTTGCACCGTGTAGGTCCCTTGTGTGTTTGCTGTCGCCTTGTGGCCACTGTCACACAGAACTCTTGGCTGTGTCCATTGCTCCCAGCCCTCCTGCACTTTATTGCTCTGGTAGAGATGGCACAGAGTGCCTCTTCTTGAGGCTTGCACAAAGTCTGGGTAGTGAGTGTCAGGCCCTTCACTGATACAGAAATCTTTGTTGCAGAAATCTTTGTTGCAGTTTATTGTGGGTTTTTTTGTCAGAGATTTTCAGAGTGGTGAGAGCAGTGAAAACTCAATTTTTCTGGATTGTATAAATGCCAGAAAGCCTGACACAAATATTGTCACAGTAGCAGGTTGCCCAAGTCTGTGCCTTTTCAGAATTTCTCTCTTCTGTGGAATAGTCAGTGTTGACCACTGACTGTTGACTGCAGGTTGACTGCTTCTGTCCATAGTAGAGATAGTTGTTTGTCCTCTTTAAATACAAAGGACTTTCATATGGCGGCTACTGCATAAATAATTTTTTTTTTTTTTTGGTAGCATGTTTTATCTAACACATTTTGAATCACAGATGTGGTGGTGGGATCTACAGTCCTCTAAAATAAAATGCTTCCGTCATTTAAAGTGGAGGGTCTAATCATGATAGCAGCAACATACATGTGTTGCACGTTCATGTAGAAAGCACCAAATAATTGATTAGTGTTCAGAGTGTAAATATGGACTTCTTACATTTTTTTTGTTACCTTCTGCAAAATTTGCCAAATATGTGTAGTTCAGCATTCTCTTCTGTATTTTCATTAAGTAATCTAGGAAAGAAATCATTCATAATGCAGTTCTTAGGCTGTTGTTCTAATCTATGTGCAGACATGTAAAGAAAGTCTTTGTGCAGATAGTTTATGCATTTTAGCTGGAAGGACAAAGAAACAACTTTAATAAAATTTCACTTCCAGCAGCTGCCTGAAGCCCTTGCAGTTAGAAGGAAACAAAAACTATTAGTCATATTTTAGCTTTTAATTGCAGTTGCTAAATTTTGATCCTTTTAGAAAAATGATGCAGAAACCAAATTCCTTAAAGTTTACCAGCAGATGGGCAGTGACTAGTTCTTTTAGAGTTGTATTATTGCCCCTTTCTTTTACAGATTGTATCACTCTGCCAACACTGATTTAATAAGGTAGATGTCAGTAATTTCACTGTCTGTGAGATGACATAATTTCATTTATGGTAAAAACTGGGAATGCATTATGCTGAAGTTAATTTATACTGCAGTCTGGAACACAGTTTTTTTCCTTTACATTCTCTGGAGGAGAAAAGAGAAGGTATCTCACTGTCCTGGGTTTGCTGTCGGGGCAGAGCTTAGAGCCATATGGGCAGGAATAAGTTGCTATTCCATATCATGCACATCATTGCTGGGGTAGGGGATTGGCTTATTTGGAGTTGGATTCCCAACTGGTGTTAAATCACCACACTCACACCGGCTCAGTTTTTTTCTGCTGGATCAGAATGAGAAGTCTTTTTATCTATGCTGTTGGTCTAGTCTTACTTCCAAGGCTTTCTTCTTTCCTTTATCAATGAGCAGTTTGGTGTTTACTTTTGGCTAAGATAGAAAATAATTTGAGATGGGGACTGATTTTAGTTTTCCCCACTGCTTTGTGAATAGGAATTGTTTATGAAACTCAAATGTTAACTATGGTCAGTGAACAAGACCTTTTCTCTATCTTCTACCCATATGACTTGAGATAAATCGGCATCTTAAACTAGCCTGAAAACTCCTCATGAGCATATAAAGCAACTCTGGGCATATGTCAACAAGATTCTTGTATCTGTATATGTCAGACACTAGAAAGCCATCTCTTCTACAAAGCCTCCTGTGTAGTATCTTGTTTCAAAAAGGTATTTGCCTTTGTGGGAGCAGCATTTAAATCAAAATTTATTTTGATTTCAAAAACTCTTCATAGTTTTGAATTCAAAAGGCACCTGGAATACAGCAGAGATAGATAAACTGGTATGTGCCTGTCTCTCAACTGAATTGATAAGGCCCAAACCTGTATATCAGCTAACAGCATAAGAAGGCTAATAAATAAAGGTCTACTAAAGGTTCTAGTTTTTTTAAAAGTGCTTTTGGTATCTCAGGCTATTTATAAACTGTATTCTTAGACAGAAATGTAAGATCTCTCTCCAATGCACATCACTGTATTTTGTCTTTAATTGACAATGCAATGTGATTATACTGATGTATAAGTATTGTCATTGTAGCTCTGTCACCAACACTAACTTTGTAAGGAAGGAAATAAAAAGCCTGAAGTCTGAAGTTCCCTGCAGGTATATATATCTAGACCAAACCTATCTGCTGGATTCCTTCTGCCTCTCCAGCTGGTATCCCCACATATAACACTTTACAGTAGCCCAAACAGCATATAAAAGCCTCCAGCAGAAAAATCTGTGTGAGTGCAACCTCTGGAGATATTTAAAGGCCATCTTCCTTGCTTTTTAAGAGACCAAGAGACGCCTCTTGCAAGAGGATGATGCGAGTTCAGCTGCTTGGAGTTATTGCTCCTGCCTCAAGTGTTATGATGGAGCATGGTACGTGCTGTTTGTGTTGGCTTGAGTGAGGGCTGCATACCAGGGCTCTTTGTGTGGAGTCCTAGCGAAAATAGCTGTCTGACTGCCTGCGGCAGCGTGCTGAATTCCCCAGGGAAATCACACCCTGGCAGGAGCAGAGATGGGGGCAGTGGACCTGGGAGGTGGAGATCTTGCTGGCTACAAAAGAAGCCACTGCAGCACCATGAAGATTTTAGTTCTCCGACTCACTCAGGCAGCCCTTTTATTTTTCAGGGCCTACAAGTGACTGGTGTGTTCTGATGTGGCCCTCAGGCTGTAAATCCTTTTAGCCTTAGGAAGAAGAGGAATACTAACAGATGGCTGTTCATGCAGCCAGTTGCCTTTAAAATACATACTTAGCTGTGAGCCAAGGAATGCCAGACACTTGAAAAAATAAAAGAGGCAGATAACATGGAAAGTTTAAAAATATTGCAGCAAAATACCCTTACAAGTTTGATTAAAACACATGCATAAGAATCAAAACCAGTTGCACAAAGGAAAATTGTAAGCAGGAAAGGTTCTCATTCAGTGTTTATAATCCTGACTCCCTGTTTTTAAGTGTAGCCTTAGAAGATCTGTGGAATAGCTTTGTTTCTCCTTGGAGTTAAAATCTAATCATATATTAAGCTTTAACATAAAAAAAAATCCTGTATTTCTTTCAGTCTTCCCACTTTTTACTTAGCAGTCTGGCGTTTCAAGTGTTGTTGTAGTAGTGGAGGTGTTCACAGCTGAATTCAGCATTTCTTAGGGGTTTGCCAGGGTAAAGCACTGCAATTCTGTATTTTCCAAATTGTATGATGTTCCATCATTGTACATCCATGGTATTTCCTTTTTTCTCACCCCTATACAGCATATCAAACTTGTGTTTTACAGTGCACTTTATTTTCAAGTTTTAGATGATGCAAAATGTTTTTTTTCTAAAAACACTACGGTATCACTGTGTCCAGGGATAACCTGTATCACTGGATTTGTCTGATTCTTGTGTTGTCTTCTCAGAGCTCTGTGTGTGTCCAAAAGCAATGATCGGTTATTTGTATGTGCTTGTACTTTTTGGCAATTATAAGCTACTTATGTCGAGTTTTCTTCCTAACTGCTTGAAGAATCTGGGGTTATCTTTCTCTTTTTCTCTTCTGAAGGGAAGACAGGTTACAAAACCCAAATTGTTTGCCTAGCAATGTTAAAAAAAACAAACAAACAAACAAAAACAAACAAAACAACTTCCTTTTCATCAGAAGTTGCTCTGTTCTCTGTTTCGCTTATGTAGTTAGGGAATAATTCACATGGGAAACCATGGAGGCACTGAAAACATTAATAAATGCTGTAACCACATATCCATAAAAAGAACTTGAAAAAGCAGCTTATGTTTACTGATGTGATCTCGTAAAATATATTCTGTTCCCTTAAATGCATTTCACTTCATTTCCTCTTAACAGCTTTGTGTATTGCTTCTCCCCCATCCTAAACAGGAGAAGAACATTACAACTGCATCTCTGCCCTGCACAAGTCTATGAGAGGCTCTGATGAAAACGCCTCCCTTTACTGGCTTGCTCGAATGCTTGAGGGCGGTGAGGATCCACTCTATGTGGCAAGGAGGCTGGTGAGGTTTGCAAGTGAAGATATAGGTCAGTATTTGCAGTATTTCACATTGGAATACCACGTTGAATGAAGATGATCCAGGCTTCTCTGGTTTCTAAAAGTTGGCTTTTGAAAAACAAACAACCCCAAAATAGTTATATGCAGAATAGGTACAAAATACTGAAATGCATGCAGGCAGAGACCTACATGAGGTGTCATTGTGATGATTACCTGTTTCAGGAAAGACAAATGTTTTTGAGAACAGGGTTGGTGTGTATTAATATGGATTCTTATAAAACCTGCTGGTTGTAGGTCACCAGTAAACTTGTGCCAACAGAGTGTGTATTTCAGGGATGTCTGATTTTCTAAGAAGTCTGGCACATGAATACCTACCCTGACCTACAAACCTCAGGTTTGTTGGCTGTAAGGCATCTTTATTTACTTATCAAAAGTAGCAGATCCAGCAACACTTTTAGCATGTATGTGATGGGTAAAGAGTTAGGAGACCTGGGGAAGCTGCATCTGTATAGCAATATTTCCCATTTCTTTATTAATTAATTTCAAAAAGTAGGAGAATCATATGTGGTCAGTTACTGCTTAGGCTGCCACTGTGTGGCAGCAGATTCAGTCTAAATCATCTAAATCATACCCATAGCTTAGACCTTTTTTTTTTTTTTTTTTTTTTTTTTTTTTTTTGTGAGGAGGAAAGCTTGTGGATAGAGGGAGTGTATCTTATGTATGGAGTGGTATTGTGCCAGGAATTCCAATATCTGAGAAAGCAGCTCTAAAATGTGCATGGATACCTTACAGAAAAAGAAAAAAAAAAGTTAAAAAAATATATATATTAAGTAAAGTAAATTGATTTTAGCCTGCTTTTATCTGATCCCATCTGGTAGGACTGGCAGATCCTCTGGCTTTAACACAAGCAGTTGCTGCTTATCAAGGCTGTCACTTCATTGGAATGCCTGAGTGTGAGGTAAATGCTTCATTAATTCACTGATTTAAAAGTTCTGCAATCTGTAAAACCTATCTGTAACTATAAAAAGAAGCAGATTGCAAGGACAGTGCAAACTGAGTTACTTGTTCATTCTGCATGCCTCTTCTTTGACAGTAGAACATTGTAGCTCTTAAATGTTCAGTTCTTAATGCTGTGGTTTAAAATAAAAGTTACTGAATATTTATTGTTAAAATGTGATACATGAACATAGATAATTTTTCTCTGTCTGCTTTTTTATATGATAAATAAAGTAGCTATTATTTTCTAGTAGTGAAAACCATGGAGCTGTGATGTTGTTAAATAATAGTATTCATATTACAGTAGCAGGCAGAGGTCAGTTTAAAAGCACAATTCCAGCCATGCTGTACAAACAACCTGAATAGCAGACCTTTTCCCAAAGAACTTAAAAGAAGTAATTTAACATTTCCCTCTGCTTGTTTGCAGGTGATTCTAGCACAGTGTGTAGTGTACTTTGCCAGAGCCCCAAAGTCTATAGAGGTGTACAGGGCATATGGCAACGTCAAGGAATGCCTGAGGATGCACACGGGACCACTGCCCCCTGTTGCTCTGCACCTGAGAAATGCACCAACAAGGCTCATGAAGAACTTGGGCTATGGAAAAGGCTACAAATACAACCCCATGTACAAGGAACCTGTGGAGCAGGACTATCTACCAGAAGAGTTGAAAGGAACAGACTTCTTCAGGGAACGAGAAACATGACTGCTGTTCTCAGAATGGGTTTTTATTTTATGACTCATACATTTCTACTGGGATAAAAATTCTCCTTACAGTGTCAGCTGGCTGCTACCATGGTTGAAAGATTTAAGCCACCAAGCCTTCCAGATATTTTTTGCCTTTCTGCTTTTATTGCTGTTGTTCAGAAGGTATTTTGTGAAGAATTGCAGTTAGGCATTGTAGAAAGGCAAAAATAAGCTTTATCCATATAGTGCTGTCAGTGGTTTAAATGAAAGTAAGAAAAAACAAGAGACTTGTGTTTCTGGCTCTTACTGTGAGACAAGAAATATTACTGTGCTGCTTTTTAAAATCAGTGTCTATTTCAGATTTTGAGGTACTGTTTAAAAAAAAAAAAATAGTAAATTGTACCCCCTCCTAAAATACTGTACAAAATATAATTACAGTAAGCAATTATTAATTGAGTAATTTTTGTTCTTATAATGTTTCAGAGACCAATTTTATACGACAGTTACTAAACCAATAAAGCTGTTACAAATAGTGTTTATGTATTTGTTTAAATACTCCTATGACAGCATTGTGGTTTTGAAAGTTTGATATCCCTTTAATTTTATTATCCCTATTTTCCAGAACAAGTTTAATTCATTTTGTTAAGCAGAATAGTCCGGAAAATGGCCACTGGAGTGATACTGAGCTCTTTGCACCTCTCTCCAGCTGTGATATGACTCAACCACCTGTTCCAGCTGTCTGGAGCACACCAGTAGCAGGTGGGTATTTCTTGACAGCAGAGGTATTTGTGCTGTGTGGGGATTTCTGCAGTGTGGGGCTTAGATCAGAGGGGTTGCCACAGCCCCACATCTGGAGCTCATTCAGAGCAGCGTTCACAAGCCAGGAGGTCTGTGGGCTGTGAATGCAGTGCCAAGTCCAGAAGCCAACTTTATTCTGCTTATTGCTCTTAATTCTCATGACAGATTGCTGGCTCTTGGCCTTGATCAAAAGTTTTGGATATACAGCCTCCAAAATTTTGTGATTTGTATTGGAGATTAATTTTGTTGTGAGACTCCCTTCATACGAAGTTCTGTGTGATGTAAGGGTCAAGCCAAAGATCCTGGTGTAACTGAAATGTTTCAGAAATTGAACCTTTTGCATGATTGTGTACTGTTAGAGGGTTTGAATCATATTCTTTAAACTTTTATATGTTCTCCTATCTTAAGTAGTTTCTGAATTCTTTGAGTAAAGTGTTGTTCTAAAGACAAGCTTCACTTACATACATTTGCGTGCTTTTCTTTTTAACTCAATTCACTTTGTTGTAGTTGGTTGGAACTTTCTTGTTGCATGAATTAAGATTAATTCATTAGACTAATATTTTTATCCTGATGGTCCTCTGAAATGCCTTTGGAGGAATAAAGCAAGGTGTGATTTTTTCTGATGCTGGACCAGCATGTGCTCACCTTCAGAGGGCAGCACAGGTTGGCAAAGGGTTCAGAGGTGGTGCTTCATTCCTCAGCCTCCAATGGAAGCAGAAATCATGACCCACAGGGCAGATCCATCAGACAGTATTGTTTAATGGGCTACCAAAATACTGGTAACAAGAAGTTAATGTTTGAAAGCCATTGTGCCACATGGCTGCTCTCCAAGCCAAGTACTATCTACCTTTTCCCTTCCTCTCTGTGGTAATTAGCAGCACTGGAGAGTGGCTGCTTGCTGCTCTCTCCCTGCTGCTAATATGCATCTCTTTTATATCCCCTTACAGAGGGCCATCTCCTCTCTTTGAAGAACTCCATGCTCCATTAAAAAGTCCATCAGGATCAGATGCACTCAGAGGTGAACATTTCACCCCACTCCCATCTCTCCAAAACAGACCCAAGGCAAAACCATCCATTTCCTCTTTCAGCAATTTATGCAGTCTCCACGTAGGATTGGCAATGCTGCTTTCAACAAGCAGAAGCCAATCTCCTTCAAAAGAACAAGATGAAAGAATGAAATCTAAAAATCACAGAGCACATTTCTTTGTTTTCTAGATTTTGACTACCTGAAGTTTACCCTGAGAAGCTCATTGAAGGATAATTGCATGCTAGTATAGTGGTATATTTATTTACCTTTCAAAGTGTAGAGCTTTAAGGAAATACAAACATTGCAGTGTCATTAGAAAATTTGGATTCTATCAGGTGACAATTGTTTCTGGTGTAAGGAACACCATCAAAATCTACCATGTCACGATTTTTTTTTGTCTTACAGAAGTTGTGCTGCCAAGAAATAATGTAGATCATGAGAAAGGCCATGCCCTAGCCATTCCATGTTGTGGAATTCAGTACTTTGAGAAAAAAAAATTGTACTGATCAAAGTTGTTTCTTCAGTAGTAACATGACCTCATGAGAGATTTGGATAACCACAACAGAAATATCAATTAAATAATTCCCCAAATTAGTTCCTTTGCAGGATTTTTTTAGCAAATTACCTAGTGAATATTGTTTCCAGTATTTAACTTGTTTGACTCTCACAGATGAAAATCTGGATGATGCAGCTAGCAAGGAATTGTCTTACACCAAATATTTATGTGAAATCATTACTTTAATTTTATTTTTCTTGTCCACATTTCTGTGCACAAAAGTTGAAATCCGCAGTTTAACCTCTGGACTGATTTTTTTTTCTCTTTTCTGTGAGCATTTTCTCTCATGTTGAGAGAAAAGCACTTAACCAAAATGATTGCATATGATTTTCCATAAAATGATTTAAAAATATAAGTGTTTATACGTGCTGGTTGTTTGAATTCCCACCTGTCCTGAAGATACATTTTCTGGCTGCTGTGATGAGTTCATTATCTGAATTGCCAGCAGCTACCCTGCATGTTCAGCATGTTTCCAGACAGGCTGTACTCTCTGGGATTTTGGCTGTAGTTTTTGTCTTTTATTGTTACTAAGTAGTCTGGATTGTGTAGGCCTCTTAATGAATATGGCTAATAGCATTCATTTAGATCGTACCACAAGATAATATGACAGAACTAGCAGTTCACTACAATGAAAACAGGAAACCCAAACCAAATGCCAAGTTCTGATTTCAGTTGTACCTTTTTATCTCAATAGGTGCAAGGGAACTGAACTGGTCTTATTTCTGTAATAAATCATAGTAAACAACAACCTGATCAGGTTTATGTACTTTATGAGGATTTTGGTCATGTGTAGGCACGTACAAACATAGAACAGCAGAAGTATAACTACACATGCTCTGAGTTAACTCATCTGTGTCAATTTATCTGTAGTAAATTTATCTCTAGTATAAGGTGACATAAAATGTAGAGATAACTGTCTTCCTTATCCACACTATGGTATGTATTTCCTAGGATGAGCAATTTCAGCTGTATGAATCAGACAAAAAGCAGGCAATTGGTGGTGGGTGGTGGTGTTTTTTGTATTTAAATCAAAAACAAAAGGCTTTCCTAGGAAGTCGTGTTAGCAGAAGTACAAAGTCTGGATTACTCATCACAGCACAGTGAACAAATACTTCTCAGAGTTTTGTCTTGTTATATAAAGACTGGTCTGCTTAGGAGAGGCCAAAATGGAGAGGAGGGGGAAATCCAGCCACTGTAATCCTCTATTTCACTGGAAGAAACTCATATGTTGTCTACTCAAACCAGCAGCCTGTTGCAAATTGGTTTTGAACAGGGACTCAAGTACTCAATGTGCTCAAGAATTTACCAGTTCCCTCCCAGGAAGTTTAACTGCAGTCAGGCTGACTTCTTAATTTTGCATTCCTAAGGGTTAATATAAACCAAAGATTTTTGCAAGCAGAATATTTTTATGTGGTGCGTGTAGATTTATGAATGCTGCTTTGCTAAGACTAAGGCTAAGTTCCTGATTTTATATTGAGACTTCTAATGTTTCAGTCTCTCATCTTGTATCTCTTTAACTCATTAAAATTACATTTTCTACCATTTTACGCAGTTAAGACATCTCAAAATTACCCTGCTTTGAACTTAGTGAGGGCTGTGTTCATGCAGTAGTTCTACAAACAAAATCCTTCTCAAGAGGATAGTTGAAGCAGCATATTATTATTTAGAAATGTGAATACAGATAGCATGCCAGTTTTCTCTGCTGGAGTCAGCCCTTGTCAATCATTTGTTCTGACAAGAGCACAGGAAAAAAGCATGGAGTATTATGGAAAAACACAATCATCTTATTGTGGGGCATAAATTATGGTAGGGGAATATTGGCCAGTAGGGTTGCTGGGTTTTTTGAAATGGTTGAATGTGAAGCTGATTTTATTGAGATTCTTATTGCTGAGGTTTTGTTTTGTGCACTGTGTCTGTAGAAAACCAATCTTGTCTCAATGTAATTGAGTTACAGTTCAGTTACTGAATGCTGATACCAACACAATAAATACAGACAGACATCAGTCTCTTCATAAAGCTGATTTGTACTTTTATGCAAGTTTTTATCTTTCTTCTGATTGCTTGGTAATTGCTGCCCTAAAAGCATTCAGTCATGTATCTTGCACACATTGACTGAGTTTGTGCAAATAAAGATGAAATTAAAATGGAGTTTTTGAGCCTTGCTTTGCTGTCTACAGCAGCAGCAGCTTTTTTTGCTAAAATGCTGAAACAAAGCCCAGAAGCTCAACACTAAAGTGCTCTAAATTTTTGCGTGGGTTTTGTGCTAGTACTTTTACTTGCAAGGCATTGGGTTTTTGGAGCACTTGGTGCAGAGATGATTGCATTCACATCTGCAGGCTGCAATACACAGTCTCCTTTGCAAGCCTACCAGAGCCTTTGCAACCACGTATTGCAGACCAAGTTCATGTGCCATTTCAAAAAACCATGACTTTCCCCATTCCCTGTAGGGGCAAGCAGCTCAGCTTACACTTCCAGGGGAAGCTGCTGGCTCATGCAATCATCTCTTCTATTGAGTAATTTGGTTTTCAATATTTTCACCTACTCTGAACAATTTCAGACAGCTGGTCATAACTGCTGTGCCAGTGGTTTTCTGTGGCTCTGCACTTCAGACAGTTATTTTGGTACTCTGAAATACTAAATTGCATAGAAAAAGCTGCTGTTTTGAACAAAAGTTTAAGTAAAAGACTTTTATTTGTTGCTTAAAGAAAGACAAGATTCAAATGCAGTTTGCAATTATATAAATTATTGTGCCCCATTCAGAGCTAAGGTTGTACAGGTAAATGTTACAGTACCCAAGACACAAGTAAATAACCTCCAAAAATAAACACAGAACATGACAGTGTGTAATTACACTGGCAACCAGGAACAAGGCTGTGGTACAGTACCAGAGGTTTGTGCATAAAGAGGTAGTGGAAGTCAGCTCAGTAAATGTAGAATCCTTGTACGTAAAGAGGAACATCAGGTATTTCTTGCAGATCCTCCTCTAGGAAGCCGAAGTATCTTTTGGGAATGACAGAAGTATTGGCCAGAATCTAACATGGGAGGCTTCTGAACTCAAAAAGGCACCTAAAACCTCTAATCCCTTAAACATTTTCTTTTAACATTTAATGTAAATTTTTAAAATCCTCTTTAAACACATCACCTGAAGTCTTACTTATTTTTTCTTTCTCATTCAAAAGTTGTGTTGCAATTTTTCTGGCTACTAGCTTCAAGGGGTTACTTTTGTTTAAATAGCTTAATCCTTTCTCTATAAATAGATGTCTCTAAACAAATGTTATCTGACCTTCTATTTCATGACAGAACTGGGTATACCCAGCTGTTTGAAACATGCCTTCTAGTGCCTAGAACGATTTTATTACAGTATTTTTGTAAAGCAGTATTTTAGGGAAGGGATGGCTTTGCAAGAGCAACCTAGTATTTATGCATAAGGAGTGACTGGATTATTAAGGAGTGACTGATTATTGCAATGGAGAACTGTGAACACAGAAAATGTGAGGATGCATAGAGGCTGACACTATGCTTTAAGAGATATGCATTTCTTCCAAGAAAATCTATTTATCTTCCAAGATTTTCCTTGTTCAATTAAAGGTGATGTCAATCTCAAGAAAGAAAAATAAATTACTCCCTTGTTTTCTCTGGGGTTGTTTTAATGGAAAGGCAGAATCTCAGTCAAATTACTAGGAACTCACAACAGGAGGATTAACTTGTTCAGGAACAAATCTTTCATTAACAACAACAGGAACTGCTGCAAATGGTAAGTTTTCTTTTATGGGGAAGCAAATCTGCCCAAGAAAAGTATGCTTTGTGTTGGGTTGTGGCGAATAAAGAAAAGGAAAGGATGGTCAGCGTTGAAATCCTCTTCTATGGCCATGCAGAGCATAGCAATGCCAGCAGTGGCAGCTGCAGCTTCCGTGCCTTCCTCATTCACTTCCACAAAAGCCTTGTGGACAACTGCAGAGAGGAAGAGGTCACGTGCCCCTGACATTCCCGACAGGTCAGCCTTGCCACTGTCAAACACATCCAGCAAGCCCATAGTGGCTAAATCTGATTTAAGGTCATAGCTTTCCTCCAGTTTAAACTTCGGCAAACGCACGTGAACGTCAGCGGAATACAGATGCTCAGACCGTGTCCATTCCTGGAGCTTCTCTAAGGTAAGCTGCTTTTCCATCTAGAATTAAAAGGACAGAGAGCATTACTTATCACCAGTGTAGTACTTCATTTTCAGTAACATTTATGAGGCTTTATTTATAGAACATTATACGAGGGTAGAGCAGCTATGCAAAAATGAACATAACCTTATCTTTGATAACTAAATAGAGATAAAAAATACTATTAAAATTAGTTGAAGTCAGTGCAGTTTTTACTTTACGAAGTAATGCAGACATTCACTTCGTGCTGCAATGTACAGAAGGGAAAATCATGCACTGATAGTAAGCCAGTCTTCTTACTGTTTCATCTAACTAAATGGAATTACCTAATTAAAAATAAGTAACAAAAATCATAATCAGGGAGCCCAAAGAAGCTGCTTATTTAATGGAAAACAGTCTCACTACTTTATGGTTAAGAAAAGAAAGACTTTCAAAGCTACTGAAAGACTAATTCTGTCATTAAAAACAAACAATCAAGGCAAGATAATTCTCACAGTTAACTCTGCTTTCAGTATCCATCATGGTTCATTCAGTTCAGCAGAGGACACATGAACACAAGCTACAAAATTGGAACACAACTTCTCTTCCCGATGCAGTACATCCATTTATTCTTTATTGCTGTACTAGTAGAGAGTTGTCTAAAAATAGACAAAATAGATTTGGCGCCCTGAGAACATGGGTTCACTAAGGCTTTAGTTTTGAATGGCTAAACTTAAAAACATTGAACAACTGCATTGGCTTAGATAGGTCACCTTTTGCAGTCCAGTGGAGTCCTCTTCAGTGTCATCAGGTAACAGGATGATCATACTAAGTTCTCTTCCATCGTAAGGCAGCTCTAAAACACGGATCTTCTCTTCAGGGATGTATCCAAAATTAAATTTATTTTTCTGATACATCATTTTTACTGTCCTTTTTTCATTCTGGATGGATAAAAGGCATGAAAAGTAACAGTTAGGGAAATACTCATTTAAAGAACTGATAGAAGACAAGTTAAAATTGCATTTATTAAACACTTATCCTCCATTATAAAACTGCATCTTTCAGACTTCTGACTGCCTGTTTAAAACAATTTCTTCTGAAGAAATGAGTTTGTATTATATTTGGTTCTTCTTTGGCTTCTACAGCAAAGTCATCACAGAAACCAAAATAGTTTCGTCAAACTTCCGTATGAAAATGTTAAGCCAACAAAGATCAACTCTGTTTAGCATAAAGCAAATGACTGCATACAGTAACTTGTAAAGCTGTTAACATAAGCAGAATATAGAACAAGAAGATGGGGCTTAATCAAAATATCCTGTCATTTTAAGACTGCTTACCTAGCATCACAAACACAGACAGTTCATAGCTGCCGATCTGCTGCAGACAGAAACCCTGTTAGGTCCTAAACCATACGTGAGAATTGTCTCTAATTCTTTTCTAGTAAGTGAGACAAAAAATAGCTTCTGAATACAGAAAAATACTAAAATCCATAAAAAATAATTAAATATTACTAAAGTACTTCGTATTTATTAATTATTTTATCTGTAAGCAAAGCTTCACATTACCACCTATATAATTATACCTTTTCATTAGATATGTCCTACCAGGACATATCTGTATTACCTTATTTAAGCGAAATGGTGCATCAGTGGTGTCAGCTTCTTGAAATTTCTCTGCCCAGTTCGCTTTGAAATAAATGGCATTCACCAAGACCAGCTTGGTCATGCTATCAACTGAGCCTTCAGACAGCAGATCAGGGATTTTGCCTTCAGAGGCAGCAGAAAAAAGGGTCACAACAAAATCATGTAGTAAGCATATAAACATACATCGAGAAACTGATGCCATAGAAATACTACAAATATAAAACCAATCTATTCCTGTAATAATTTCAGTACCTGTCTCACTATTTCACCATACCTTTTCTTAATACACACTACTATAACTTTTGATATACAATGATTTGATGAAAATGTAATATTGTTAGTCTAAACTGTCACATGCAACTCATCTACTCCTCATACAAGAACTACAGAATGCCCACATTAAAGAATACTGAATTTAGAAATATATATACCATGTATATATATGGACCAAGACAGACTAAGACAAATTCTCCAACTCATGAGTACACCTCCATGTTTAGGCATCTCTCCTGCACTCATGGCTTGAGCACAAAACAGAATGGAAAACTCTCAGGACTTATGGAACTGGTTAAATGCCTTGTTTAGGTAATTTCTGGTTCTGTCCATGCATCAAATGAGTACCCCAGGACAGAATTAAACTGTTCCAAAGACAGCAGAAAATAAAGCCCATTCCTGCTCCCAAGATAAGAAACTCTACCAGTTATTAACAAAGAAGTAATTTACCTTCAGTTTTCTCCTCAACCCACTGGTTAATTTCTTTCCTAGCTTTATCACAAGCCTGAAGAAAATCAACTGTAGCCAAGTCAGCTCCATATAATTTCCGTGTATTAGTCAGGAAATCCTAGATTTTGAAACAATAAGAATAGCTTTCACTGCATGAAGATAAGAAAACATCTAATTATCAGCTAGATAAGGTGTACTCAGATTGTCACCAACTCTGAGGTAGGGTTCAAACAGTGTGTTGCTTGGGGGAATTCTGAAGTTAACAGGTTTTTTCCCCACTCTTAGAGTAAGCCTCGTAGTACACCAGCCATGTCTAGAGCTGATGGGGTGCTTACTGAAGGTGTTGCAGTACTTAACTATCATTCTCCTGAAACAGGCTCAAGCACAGCTAGGATAAAACAAAACTATCCAAAATAGCTGAAGACAGGCAAAAATATCAACCTATTTGCACTCCAAGTTGTAATTCACTGGCGAAGAGGCATGTTGTTAAAACATATTGGATATCCCCTC